ACTTACATGACTGGAACACATACCTAATAGGAAACAGTCTAGATTTAATATTATCATCCAGAAAGATAATCACAGATGTTTGTTCCTTTATTTGAGATATTTATTGAAATATTCAAATCTTACCAAAATAATGAGACAATGTAACGGATAAGAAAGGGCAGCCATTAGTAACCCTGGGTATATAAGGAATATGTACACAACAGTAAATTTCCTTTCAAGAATGCTTGTTAGGAGAGAGTGAGATCTGAATTGGATGCCCTGAGTTTTGAATAAATATGCAAAAATAAACCTAACCCTCCAAATTTTTACTCAGACTTCAATTCTTTCCCATGGACATTCCTCTATTGATGTAAACAAATCAATATAACATGCACAACTCAGCCTGCCCCTCTGAACATTGCTACAGTAACAAAAACTGACCTAGGAATGCAGAAATCTCCTTTTCAGTAATGTTATAAATCCATGGAATCATGGTTGATAATGAAAACCTGGTGTTAATGATTGTTTTCATTTACTATGTGGATAGTGGGTGACAGTGTTATTAATCTAACAGTACAAAGCTGTGCTATTGTGCCCTTACCAGAGACATGACTTTACATTTTAATTGGTAATTGAATCTTCCTATAAATTCTCAACAGTTGGGCTGGGAAGTTGGCTCAGTGGTAGAGCGCTTGCCTTGCATCCATGAGGCCCTGGGTTCGATTCCTTAGCACCACATAAGCAAAAAGAAAAAAGCCGGAAGTGGCGCTGTGGATCAAGTGGTAGAGCGCTAGCCTTGAGCTGAAGAGCTGAGGGAGAGCGCCCCGGCCCAGAGTTCAGGCCCCACAATCGGACCCCCCCCAAAAAAAAAATTCTCAACAGTTATGCCTTCACTTTTAGGTTAACTATCTATGAGATGAAAAGTGAGTGTTCTGTGGGATTTTCATTTCCTATGCTACTACCTGGTATGTAGGATCTGGATTTGTGATGAAATGGTGTCTCTATCTCTTCCCTTGCCTGTGACTACTTCTAAAGAAGATAAAATGAAACCAAACTCTATGTTTGTTTGTTTGTTTTTTACTGGGATGACTCTGAAAGTTTCATGTTTTGTTCTGTGCCCTCAACTTTGCCTTATCCATCTAATGCTAAAATGTGCTTGCCACGGTTTTCATTCCAAACCACAAATGTGTTGGTATGTTTTCCCATCCCTAAACTATTTCCATGAAGTTTTTGTGTTCAACTATTAGTTCAAATATGCTGAGACTACATAAAAGGGCATTTTTATAGAACCTTGTTCCCACCTTATTACTCTGTTCCTCACATGCATTTATACGCTGGCAATACTGGCATGTGAAGAATTCCCAGAATAAGACATGATATTTCCCCTTGGAAGATATTCTTTCTTTTGTATAGTAGGTTAGGCATACATCCCTCCCTCATTTTCACCACTTGACAATGATATCTTCTCCACTGGTTCCACACTTTGGGTGATATAGTCACTGGTTATATGACTAACTCATGTAATTGTTCCTGCTTTTATCTTATCTCCTATAGTAAATTTTATACCTCTCAATAATTTCCTTAGTTTGGCACTTACTTCGGTGCATGCCATACAGCACGCACTTAGGAAAAGAAGAATAAGATAAAAGGATGATGAGATGTTTCTCTAGCCAAATATACAATGAGAAAGACAGAAAGTTGTCTCAAATGTCCCTTTACTAATTAGCAACTTCTCTCATTCAGTGGGGACTCTGTAAAATATTGCCAGAACTGTTTTTTTAACATATAGATACGTTAAGTTTCATGTCAAAAGATCTTATTCACTTTTTATTTTTATAGATTATAATGCCCCTTTATTTTATAGATTATAATGCCTTTACAAGATCTGACATATTTGTACATTCTTGGGCATTTCCAATCACACAATAGATGGTTCAATCCTACTAAATACTTTGGATTCATTCATTCATTCAATGTATTCATTCATTTTTGAATGTGTTCCTAGATTTACAAAAGTGCTAATGCATTTTGAATCTATTATTTATCATGTCTTATAATGTATTTTATAAATCTGATAAAAATTGATTTTCATTTCCAGTTATTCTAAAATTTTAATGTGATCAGTCTGGAGAGAAGATATGAATTCATATGAAAGTACTTCCAAAGGAAAATAGTTCCTAAAAACTTTTCTTAAATGTAGAAATTAAGCCTCAAACCCTGTCATTTAAAAATATTTAAAAATTCAAATTCTATTTTAAGCCAGTTGGAGACACATTCCAATTTAATTTCCTTAAAATGATGTATGTGTGTATATATATGTATATATATACATATATACATATATATGTGTATATATATATATATATATAGTGTGTGTGTGTGTGTGTGTGTGTGTGTGTGTGTGTGTGTGTGTGTGAATGTGAAAATACCATACAGAGAGGTTATGATTACATGGGCAAGGTAATGAGTACATTTCTTATCAAGCATTTTTGCCTCTTCCTTTGTTTCCCCTTCCCATCCCTTCCCATCACCTCCCCACCCCCCAAAAGTTGTAAAGTTCATTTTTCTACATAACTACTTGTACATCTCATTGTTGCAATGGGTCCACCTGTATCCCTATTTAACAATTTGTTTTTTCCCTTCACCTCCACAAATTATACCAACGTCAAATACAGTGAAAGCAGGGGTTATACAGTGAGGGAGGGACATAAAAAGCAACAAAGAAATCATCTTATAAATATATTAGAAACAATCCCAAGAGAGAAAAAACATTTGAATACTTATCTTAGGGTTCATTTCACCTAACATCAACTTATCTGACCTCTTCTCTGTTTGTCTCAGACATATACCAGTTATTGCAAATAAGAGAAACCATGGGACCTATGTTTCTTTGGGCTTAGAATGGCTATAATCAAGAAGTCTAATAACAGATGCTGGAGGGGATGTGGACAGAAAGGAATTTTACTGCATTGTTAGTGGGAGTGTAAACTTGTTCAACCATTTTGGAAAGCAATATGGAGGTTCCTCAAAAGACTCCACATAGAGCTCTCCTATGACCCAGCAGTCCCACTTTTGGGCATTTACCGGAATGATCACAAACAAGACCAGACTAAAGCTACCAACACAACTATGTTTATTGCAGCATAATTTACCATAGCTAAGATATGGAACCAACCCAGATGCCCCTCAGTAGATGAATGGATCAAGAAAATGTGGTATATATACACAATGGAATTCTATGCCCGCATCAGAAAGAATGACATTGCCCCATTTGTTAGGAAATTGAAAGATTTGGAAAAAATGATATATATATACATATATATATATATATATATTTAAATCTGATTCAAATGCTGTTTGTGCAATAAGACACATTCATGATTTTTTCTGAAGCTTTCTTTCCATAGAAGACTTAATCAAAGCAACTTTGGGTATATCAAGATGTTCAGGAACAATCTATAAATTTCTAAATGCCCTTTTATTTGCATTTTTTCTCAATAACATTTATTCATCCTTGTTTTGATATCTAGGTTGATGTCATCTCTTTCTGTCAGGGCTTTCAATTTCATCATTAACTATCTTGGGTGTCTGGAGTTGAGAAGCAGTTTTACTTTCTAGAAGAAATCATGTCCTTTTATATACCTTCTCTTTATTCCCAAATGGACTACCTCTCTATTAAGCACATTTCCTTTGTATACTACCTTATCATGTGAGCCAATTGACACTTTTAGCAGTCTACCTGTTAATCTCTTTGCTTGTATCCAAAAGTTCATAAGGTACATTTTCTTTTTTTTAATTTTTAAATGTTTTTATTGTAAAGATACTGCACAGAGGGGGTTACAGTTACATGAGTAAGGTTATGAATAAATCCACTTCCTATCGAACATTGCTACCCCCTCCTTTGTTTTTCCCCCACCATGCCCTCCCTCCCCACCTCCCCAACTCCCCCCCCCTCCGACTCTGCAAAGTTATAAAGTTAGTCTTGTACATCTCATTGTTACAATGGGTCATCCTGTATCCTTATTTCAGCATTTCGTTATTTCCCTTCCCCTCCCCAAATTGTACATTTTCTATCTCCCACAATATCCTAGGTGAGAACTATTGCAATTGTCTCTTTCTAGGCAGCATTAGGAGCCCATTCTTTTGCCCTTCTAGAGTCATTTTCTCACTGTACTTTCCACAATCTATCTGCCACGTGGTGCCAAAGACAAAGCCAAATGTTTTTGGACTTTGGTATGTTAAAACTGGTTTCTCTGTACAGTTTCTCTCTTATCTTCTCATACTTCTCTCACCTCTTGCAATCATGTTGATTTAAATGTGTTTTTGTGACAGTGATGAGGTTATAAGTAAAACTTTTCAGGTGCTTTCCAAATATGCGGACTGAAGTCTGTTAATATTCCATTGGGCAAAAAAGTTCTATTAGATAGATCTAGATTGTAAAAATCCAGAAATAACTTCTCCCCACTTCAGTGAGAAAGACTGTGAAATTGCAAAGTATATATGGATATATGCTGGAGATTGCTTAATATAATAAAGCAGTCTGACACTGATAGCTTTTACATCAATGTTATTCTCAGAGCCAACCTGTGTAAGTTTACAGATCCCCACATTGTTAACTATTGTAGGAATCTTATTCCTACTTACGTGTACCACATTCTCATACTCAACAATGAGTTCTAAGGTGCAAAAGAGGGTTTACTGTTTGCCCCTGTCTGTAAGAAGATAATATTTTCTTTTTTCATAACAAATTAATGAAGGAATCATAAAGTGAATGGTTAGCTCTAAGATGTAAAGTTTCAGTTGAAGAGTTTGCTTCTATATTAGTACCATCTCTTAAAAGCACATGGCTTCAAATAGGTCTTACATACCTTACATGGAAATCTAATAAATAAATCTATTAATCTAATACATCTAAATGTTGTTCCCCAAGAAACAACAATGCCATACGTGAACTAGTCTGTTATTAACTAACATCAGGACAAAAGAAACAAACCATCAATCTCTTTTTCTTTATTCATTAGCTAATATCTGTGATCCCAACCCATGTGAAAACGGTGGCATCTGTTTGTCAGACTTGGCTGATGATTCCTTTTCCTGCGAGTGTCCAGATGGCTTCACAGATCCCAACTGCTCTAGTATTGTGGAGGTTGGTAAGTGAAAGATTTAAGCAATTCAGTAGTTATCCTCTGTTTTCAGAGATGATTGACGTATTTGACTGTGGAGATTCTGTTTGAAAGACAGAAATTTTGTTGACCTAGTATTATTACTGATTTTTTTTATGATTTTCAAAATGTATTCAACTTATATTTGTATTAGTAGTAATCTCAGGCAAATCAATTTTTGTATTTTTAGTGATTAATAATCATTACACACTACAGATAAAACTTGAATACAAAATGTTCTTTATAGCTCCAGTATTAAGATACATTATTTTCATTCTCAAAAACAAAAATTTCCAAGACAATTTATTTAATTCCAATTTGATGCAAATGAAATGGGACTGTTTAAAGGCTGCTAATTTGAATAAGTATTTTGTAGTTGTTCTAAATTACCACTTAAATGTATGTATACATATATATCTCAATATATATTTCACATATATTTCAAAACCTATTCTTAAAAGTCTTTTCAGGCCTAATATTACAGCTTAAAGATAGATTGCTTACCCAGAATTTGCAAAGCTACATGTTCAGTTTCTGGCACTGAAAAGTAAAGTGTATTTTTAGTAACATTGCTTTATAAAAATTTATTAGAGCTACTGATTACATTTCAAGATGTTTTTTAATCTATGAAATAGTTCATTGGCATGTGTAGTTGTGGATTTAGGATAACTTTCTGTGATTTCCAAATAGCTCATCATAACTCCTCCTTTAAATTACAGCATAGCTGTAATTTAAAATGTTTAACACAGTAAAAACTTGTACAGAGATTTTATTTTATTTTTTGCTGATTAAAGGTCATACAGTTATTCATTTTAAAAGCCATATTTTTTTCACATCAGTACCTAGAAAAATGTCAAATGGACTATATCTGTTCAATATATTAAAACCATAATGTTGCTGAATAAAAATTTCCTAACCTGACCTTGGAAACAAGCATTCTTGGATTTTAGAAAATAGGTTTGAGCCAAATGACCATGGCTCCTGCCTATAACCCTAGCTATTCAAGAGGCTTAATTCTGGAAGATTGTGATTCAAACCCTGCTGAGACAGAATTGTTTATGTGATTGCATCTCCAGTAAAAAGCCTGGCTGGAGGTGTGGCTGAATGATACAGTAATAGCCAAACAAAGCAGTGATCAGTTTGAGTTAATGCATCTAACTTAGTTCCTTATTCATAATAAAACACTCCAGGTTGACCCATTGCAACAATGAGATGTATAGAGGATATATCTAAAAAATGAACTTTACAGATGGGGGCGGTATGGAGACAGGAGGGAAGGGATGGTAGGGGAAAAACAAAGGTGGAGGCAGCAGTGCTTGATAAGAAATGTACTCACTACCTTGTTCATGTAAATTAACCCCTCTGTACAGTATTTTCACAATAAAATACTTGTTAAAAAACACTCATAGAGCATTAGTTGAATAAAGGAAGAATAATAAAATAATACTATTAACTTAGTCTTTGGCCACTAGTCACTGGATTTTAATGTGTGTGTTTGTGTGTATGTGTGTGAGTATGTCTTTTTTTTTTTTGGTGCTGATACTTTATGCTTATCACTTGATGCTAGCCTTTTACCAATTAAACCATAGCTCTACTTCTGCCTCTTTACTGATAAATCGGAGGTAAGAGTCTCACAGTCTTCTATGCAGAAGCTGATCTCAGACTCCTGAGTAGATAGGATTAGAGGTATGAGCCACTGGTACTTGGCTGTGCCTTATTTTTATTTTTATATTTGTAATTCTAATGTAATATTAGTATGGTTCTATTTGAAAATGTTAATTATCTTCCTTTAATTTTCTTCTAATACTATTCTTTTTTAAGGTTTTTGTTAACTCTGGTATTTTAAGCAGCTTGATACAGTACTATAGAACTAAAACTGTTTCAATCCCGGTGACCCCCATATCTGAATATATAAAATTGAATTTCAGCATTTATTATGCGAGTCATACCCTCAGAATTTTATACTTTGAAGAAAATTATAGCTACAAATATTCCTACTTGATATGTATGAGTAGTATTAAATTTTAGTGGCATTATTTTAAGCCCACTATCTTTACATTGACAAGGCCTTAAATTTGTGCTACATACCATTTTTGTGAACACATTGAAAGAATTAAATATAATCAAAAAGAAATGTCTTCAATAATTAATAAATCACTATCTTCATAGAATATTAAATACTTAATAATTAGATTAAAGCAAATACTTTAATCTTGTAGGCTATATTTTCAAACATTAACATTCATCATTTTGTCAAAAGAGTAGTTTATGACCAGCAACCATTTATACACTAAGCGTACTGTCATATTCCAATTGGTTCAATGATATTTGAGGAATTTGATGCTTATAAAATAAAATTTTATTGAGATTTATTATTATAGTTATACTTTTAAGCCACACTTTTAGGGGAGCAGTAGTGGGGTTTGAATTCACCCTCAAACTTGCTGGGCTTGCTTGCTCAAGTTAAGAACTCTACCTCTTGAACACACTTCCAGCTCCACATTTTGCTGGTTAACTGCAAATAAAATTTTATCAGTTTGTCCATCTGTTTCATACTCTGATCCTCCAGGTCACAGTCTCCTGAATAGCTCTGTTTATAGGCATGTGCTAGTGCTACCCAGCTTAAGCTACATATTATTATGTGTTTCATACAATTTTATCATGCCATAAAGTATATTTAGAATTTCATCAAAGATATATATTAAGTTTGTACTTTCTGTATTATTTAGGATGTCATTTTTTTGTAATAATAGAAATTAAAATAATAGAAAACAGGTGCTAAAAAGATTAAAATGCCTATCACCCATACTATGGAAATAATGGTTATGCATTGAATAATAATATTTACAAGTGACATCATTAATATCCACCCTGACATAAGGATCCTTAATTTTCAGAAATTAATCATCAAGTGTAAATATTTGAAGCATTAGCTTATTAAAGCACATCCTGCCTTTTCTATTTAAAAATTAACTGATTTTTTGTTGTCATTGCTTCTCGACTATTAAGTAGTACAGAGTATGTAGGAATTTTGTGCAAAACAAAACAAAAACTGTCATGCTGTATTAAAAGATAGAAGAATTGAACTGTGACTACTCTGCTTTTCTTTTCTTTATTTTTACTTATATCTCCCTAGAGATAGATCAATGTCTAAGTCTTTTTCTAAGCATTTTCAATCACATATTTTATGATCATATAAAGATTTTAAATTCAATCATTTTTAATTTTTCAAGGAAAGAGAATGATCTTACTCATATTTACTTAGAAAAAATTATACCTTGGTCTCAAGTATATAAATGATAATTTTCATAGCCATTTTACAACTGAACAAATACACCAGTGTGGTTCATCTAAAAATGATGATTTCAAATACACACCTAGATATTTCCATTATTACTTTAACTCAAGCTTTAATATTCTCAGTAGCTTTGTTTAACATTCTTTTCTTCCCTTGCAAAGCATCTTCCTGTCACACATATTCCTGTTATATGTGGTAGTTGGGCAAAATTGACTTGTTCAGTTTTGTGAACTTTATTTAGTAGATAAAATTACTTGTCCTTGGATTTTCTTTTAGATACTTCCATTGACTCCAATACCCAGAAATGTCCCAGATTCATATGCTTAAGTTTTAAAAGCGACTAGCCAGTGGTTGAACAAATGTGCAATGGGACGGGGAGGGGGGGGAGGGGAGGGGAAGGGAATACTACCACCCTCTTTAGGGCACCTGTGAATAGATGTCCACATGACTAAATGCCAAATTACTTCCCAGTCAACTGCTCACATTCCTAAGAACATTGTGTAATTTGACACTAAATGTCATCCCATTCACTATAGTAATAAGCATTAATTCTTACTCAAACTTATGATGATTTAATGAGAACAAAAGAAAGAAAATAAGTAATTTTTAAAAAATAAAGTTTTAGGGGTTGTATGTTCAGGACAATGATAGAACATATGAATAACACATGCTATTCCCACCTAAGATTTACTAAGAAATAAAACAATACATGGTAAAAAATGACCCTTTTCCTTCATTTTTCAATAAATAATTTTTTTCAACTTGCTGATGGTTATTTAAATAATGGAGACATGTGATAATCCAATTCACAGGAATTGCTAATTCACTGGGAAGGCAGAGAGATGAACAGTTGGATAAATGGATAATTAGACAAATGGTTGATAGATAAGGTATGTTTTGTGATACAGATATGTGTGACTATGAGAATATATGTGTCAATGTTAAATATCAGGGAATTCATGCTTATGTGAAAGAAATAAGGTCTACTTAAATTTTTAAAATTTTTAAATTTTAAAATTAAAAATTTTTTAAATATAACTGTAATCTTAGCAGATAGAAAGATATATGTTACACACAAAAGAAACATCATAAACGAAACAGGGTGTTGAGGACAATCATTCTGAAATTTGGCCTTGGTCCTACAACTCACAGATATGGTTTTTTTTAAATTTTTGACCCTTGCTACTGTTGAAATATGGAAAACAAATGGATGCTGATTCAGAAGAAGGCCAACTTGAAAGCAAATGCATTACTCTAGACAGCCATGCTGATCTTGATCATTCTCGGGACGGAGAGTAATCATGGAATGATCACCGAGTAGATAATTATTGGGGAATGACAATGTGTTGAGGAAAACCAGGTTTGGGAAAAAGGGGAATAAAGAATAAGTGCTTCATTTTCTACTTGAACACCTGGATGACATTCTCTTAGGCAATGTAAATTGATAAAAATTTAGAAAGCAAAACATATGTTCAGCATTTTACATATTGAGTTTTAGGAATTTTCTAGGCTTTATCTTAGAAGTTCAATGCAGATTTGGAAGGGATAAATATACGTATGATTTTTTAAAGTTTGTAGCATGCATAGTTTGCCCAAGAAGTATCAGTGGGATTTTTTTTTATGTAAAGGCAATGTACAGAGAAGTTACAGGTCATGAGTCAGGTAATGACTATATTTCTTTTGAACAGTG